CTCATTAATAGTGTAGGACATTTCTTTGTATTAGCATATTGTTTTGTTTAAAAGTATGATGGCGAAAAATTCTAGTGACTCAGTGCCTAGATACTTCTCTTTAGACATTCTTATTTTATTATCATCATCTTGAGTTTTATATTCCATTTTGCAGACGGCCTGAATCACGTTTTTTTTGTTTATTTGATTTTGATTTCCCCCCTTAGTCAACGCATTTGTATTTAATTTTTCTCACAATTGCAATTTCAAGCGAGACTTCATCCATCCCTTCAATATTCCTCGAGAATAATCCAGTTTGCGCTTCTCCGTTCTCCCTCTTGTCATTCCTATTCTAAACACAGCTAAAGACATGAGAAGTTTGAACAGGAAAGCAGAAAGGTTTTAAAATGTCTTTGAACTGACGACAGAGGATAATACACATCTAAAGTGTTTGAAAATTACTGCTTAGAACTTGGCATTAGACATGAGAAGATAGTTCCTAGTATTACATAGAACAACGGTATGATAGAGAGAATGAACCGTACTATTATAGAAAAGGTCATAAATATGTTAAGGATGACTGGATGACCTAAGTCATTCTAATTTGAAGTAGTTCAAACGACATATTACCTAATCAATTGGTCTCCATCAATTTCTTTGGATTTTGAAATTCTAGAAGTTGTATGGATAGGAAATGATGTTTTTTATTCTCACTTGAAGGTTTTTGGGTACAAGGCATTTGCACATATGCCTAAAAACAATGATTGAACTAGATGATAAAGCTAGTGCTTGCATTTTTGTTGGCTATGGAGATGTTAAATTTAGCTATAGATAATGGGATTTGGAAATATATATATATATATATATATACACACACACACCTGTCTCTTTGCCTCCAGACAGTGCCACTTAGAGAGTAGAGATACACACTAACACTCACGTTAATAAGCCAGTAGGGGTTTGATAATGATGATCTAGAGGATTTTGAGTAGGGGGTGCAATCTAATACATCGGAACCTCAGATTAGAAGAGCTATCAGGGAGCATCATCCATCAACTGAGCATCGTTACATGTTGGTAACTAATGAAGGGGAGCTAGATTACTATCAGGAGGTACAATCTTATAAAGACAAATAGAGTTGGGTGAATGCTATACAGGAAGAAATGAATTCTTTGTATGCGAATAACACGTATGAACTAGCAGAGCTTCTAGATGTAAAAAGACATTGAAAAATAAATGAGTGTTCAAGTTGAAGGAAGATGGTGAAAATTTAGTAAAGTATAAAGCGTCATTAATAGTGAAGGGCTTTGGTCAAAAGAAAGGGATTGGCTTCAATGAGATATTCTCTCATGTTGTCAAAATGACTTCTGTTCGAGTGGTTTTGGGTTTAATAGTTAGTTTGGATCTTGACCTTGAGCAGTTAGATAGGAAGATTGCCTTTCTCCATTATGATTTGGAGGAAGAAATCTATATGGTTCAATTAGAAGGATTTGAAGTAAGAGGAAAAGAATATATAGTTTGCCGGTTGAAAAAGAGTTTGAATTGGTTGAAACAGGCATCAAGACAGTGGTATAAAAAATTTGATTCCTTTATGCTGAGCATAGTTATACTAAGATGCAGATCATTGTGTTTATGTGGGAGAATTCCATGGTGATAACTTCATCATCTTTTTGCTATATGTAGATGACATATTGATAGTGGGGCAAAATGTTCAATTGATTCGCAATTTGAAAATAGATTTGTTCAAGTCATTTGACATGAAGGGTCTTAGACCAACACGACAATTTTTAGGGAATAATATATGTCATGATAGGAAAGTCAGAAAGCTAAGGCTATCATAGAAGAAATATGTAGAATGAGTACTGATAAGGTTTAACATGAATAATGATAAACTAGTTGGGACATTACTTGGTAGACTCTTCAAATTTAGTAAAATGATTTGTCCTTCTAAGAAGAATAACAAAAAAAGAATGGCAGAAATTCCTTATTCCTTTGCGATTGAGAGTTCGATGTTGCTATGGTTTGTATACTTACAGACATTGCTTATACAATTGGAGTGGTCAGCAGATTTCTTATTAATCGTGGTAAAGATCATCGAAAGACAATGAAATGGATCTTCAGAATATTTGGTTACTATTTTAAGGGGACACTACTAAAAAATAACTTTTCACCTACGGAAAATTACCAACGGATTGCATCCGTTGGTGATTAGAAACGGATTATCTGTTGGTAAAAGTAATTCACTTTTAGTTACGATAATTAGCAACGGATTTCCCGTTGGTAAAGATGATATCTCTTTACCAATTGATATTCCGTGCCTAATGTAATCGTTTAACATTTGGATCTTCTTCCAATAGATATTCCGTAGGTGATGTACCGAATATTACCAACGGATTGCATCCGTTGGTAATTAGAAAAGGATTATCCATTGGTAAAAGTAATTCACTTTTAGCTACAATAATTAGCAACGAATTTTTCGTTGGTAAAGATGATATCTCTTTACCAACGGATATTCCGTGCCTAATATATTTGTTTAACATTTTGATCTTTTACCTACGGATATTCCGTTGGTAAATAGAAACAGATTATCCGTTAGTAAAAATGATATCTCTTTACCAACGGATATTTCGTGCCTAATATAACCGTTTAACATTTTGAACTTTCAGCAACGGATATTCCGTTGGTAAAAATAATTCACTTATCCCACATCGAAAGTTTACAACAATATCTTTGTAATTGCCCTCTATAAATTTGTGGTCCAATAAGGAGTTAAACAATATTTTGGCCTTTCAATTCAATCGACTAAAAATAAAAAAAATATTATAATTATTAAATAAATAATAATAATAATAATAATAAATAAATAAATAACTTTTTTACTATATGATTATTTACAATATTGATTTTCACCAATTTTAATGGTAGTTATTTACCAACGGAAAGTCGGTTGGTATTGGTTAAGACTTTCACCAACGGAAATTCCGTTGATAAAAGATTCACATTTTACCAACGACATGATCTGTTGGTAACTATCAGCGACCCTCAAATTACCAACGGATTTGTGGTTACAAATATTTCGTTGGTAAAGATTATTAGCAACGGATATTGAAATTTTAGGAACGGAAAATCCGTGCCTGAAACTCTATTTTTTAGTAGTGGGAGTTGTCTCGTGACAGTCAAAACTACAAAAAGTGGGTTTCCTTATCTACAACTGAGGTTAAGTATATTGCGACAATTGAAGCAACGAAAGAAATGTTTTAGATGAAACAATTTCTTCAAGTTTTGGGTTTGAAATAAGATGGGTATGTAGTTAATTGCAACAGTCAATGCATATTAGACCTGAGCAAGAATGCTACTTATCATTTTCGGATGAAGCATATTGATGTGAGATATCTTTGGCTATGACAAGTAGTGGCGGAACAATTGATATTGTTAGAAAAGATTCATACTGAAAAGAATCCAACAAATATGAGACAAGGGTGATGACAAGAAAAAGTTTGAGTTTTGTGTTGAACTGACCAACATGGACCCTAACTAATTTGTTAGAGGATAATCTCCTTGACAGTTGAAAAAATAGAAAAATAGGAGCTGTTGGACAGAGAAGAAAAACGTGGCTGTCGAAAGAGAAAAAGAGAAGGTGTTGGGTTTTTGATACCCAATAAATCCCAGGCCATGATGTTAACGTGGGTTAATATTATTTCATAGGCATAGGCCGATGAATGAAATAAGTCAAACAACCAAGTTCATGAGCTACACCCAACCCAATTGTATTCCTTATGGATGACTTGAATCTTGGCCCGTTTACCCCTGTAATAGCCCAACATAAAGCCTAACCCTAGAGTATATATTTGGCTATAACCCTAGCCACTTTCATATGATGATTGTGTGATTTCGAGAGAAGAAATAGTGTATCCCAGTTGCTCCCCTTTTGTGTGAGAAAAAGGTGTCCAGAAGTGTCCAGAACTCTTGTATAACGTGTGCAGTTGGTGGTTCTTTCATAGTACACCTTTGTGGTGTCTTCTCCTAACCTTTGTGGCCATAAATCATCATCCTTTCTTGTTCTACGTAGGTAAGATTGCATAGCAACCAAGGTGAATCAATTGGTTGGGGTTTGGAGCTGATTGGACTGGTTGTTGGTTGAGAAAGGTGCGTTGCACTGAGCCTGAAAAATCACCGTTTGAAGATCATTTTGAGAGAGCTTCCGCAACAGAAGGGAAAAATGATTTTCTTTCAATCTTTAGGTGAGGATTCACATAGATTTTTTCTTCTCTATATAGTATAAATTGAGAATTTTTCTAAGTGATTTTATTTTGAATACTTTAGTTGCGTGTAGTATTCAAAGTAGGTTTCTTACAAATTTCATCAAACTAGAGGTTTGGGGGTGAAATTATTGTTCTCTTAGAGATTGATCATTGTTGTATTTCCCAATTTATTGAGAACTCAAATTTTAGCTGTAAATATGAGCATTCTAAACTCTATTTTATTATGGTGGATTTGATTGAAGTTGTCCCGTCGTTTTTTCCCTCTACATTGGAGGGTTTTTCATGTAAATTTGGTGCGTTATTTCTTAATTGCTCTCTTAATATTTAATTAATTATTCGTTTGGATTGTAAATTTATTTTGCAAGAAGTGAAATTGCCCAACAACATTTGTGCAAGTTCCAACTCCAACTCACACAGCCTCAAAGTTGCAAGTCACTAATCTACACCAAGGCGCATCCATCTAATCAATCGTTTTATTTTTTATTTTTTATTATGTTTGAACTACAGATGTTCAGTCTTGAACCATCTCGAGTGGCTCAGATGTTGACAAACATTGAGCAGTATATCTTTTCATATTCAGCATCCTAATCGGCACTTTCCATAGGCATAGATAGAGGATGGAATATTGTTGTTTATGTTCGTTTGTACAAATTTCACTTTTCATTTTTAAAATTTATTTTCCATCTTCATTTCTTCTTAAATTTTCCATTTACTCGATATATGCTGATGTAATTTTCTCTTCAAGGTGAAAAAGAAATATTGATTTTTCCCAATCTTATCACCGTGGACTTTTAATGACGTTAAAATAAAATTTATACACAAAGGAAAGTGAGGGGAAAATAAGGAGAATAAATACATTATTTATGTAATTTATGTCTATATGGCCAGAACATCTTTTTCCTCCAATTTTAGTCTGTTAACTAATATGTCTAAGGCTTCATTCATCCACAGCTGCTTGCATACCTCTCTAGCTCTAGCAACTGTCATCTGCATATATAAATCTTGAATATTTCAGTTGTTAACATCTCCAATAAATTCTTCATATCGATACATATAAATATATAAATATAAGATTTTTCTACAATGATACTCTATGTAGAAATTACCCTCATGGAATCATAAAAAATTATGGTCTCAACTTGAGACAGTTGTAAATAAGATTAAAATTCACATTATAATAAGTTATTTAGGCTGTCTTGTGAAACTTGCCTCCGTGTAGTAATAATCATCCATTTATTCCAATGAATATATGTTACGTTAAATTTAAGATGAAATAAAATATTTACCTAAAAAGAATGCTAAATTTTATACTTTTAAGATGATTTTGCATGTTCTCAGTACTACATCAATACATATACTAGTTTTTTGAAACCAACGTCTATTCTTAGTTTTGACACGCTTCATTAATTAATTGTTAATGTAGTGCATGCTTTGCCTCTTTACCACTTGCACTGAGAATAAATAAGTCAAAACAATAATTTTTGTAACTGTAACTACACCTCTATTAAGTAATAATCTCTTCATAACAATAAAATTAGTTTGGCCATAATTTAGAGGTTTTACCTAGGGATGGTAACAGGGGCGAGTATGAAACGGGTTGGTCATTCCCACCCCCGTCCCGTCGGGTATTTTTGTTATCTTACCACTTACTTATACCCTGTTAAAAGGGGACGGGGCAAGACAAGTCTCCTATCCCATTTATCGCCTATTTATTTTTCTTTTTATTTTTTATGTCCTGAATTAGTAAATAATATTACTGTTTAACCAATTTGTTAAAACAACCTATGCTCTCTTTTATTTTTGTTTCATAAAAACTTAAATTTGAAATTAATGTTAAACGAGATAGGTAATGGAGCAGGGACTATGTTTCCAGTACCCATCTCATACCCACCTCGAGGCAATGACCCTCGTCCCATACCCATCCCATGTACCCGATTAGGCAAGTATTACCCGTGGCGTGCCCATTCAAGGTGGAGCCCACGGGTATCGGGTTGAACGGATTTTTTTGCTATCCCTAACTTTTACCATATATGAAATATGATTTGTACACCATATAGACTAGAGAATGAACAAATATGTCACATTATCTTTTCTCAATTTTAATCCAATGCAACATACCAAATATGATAGTAAAATACGTTTCGTAGGTCAAGCCTTATGTGTAACGTACCCATTCTCTTAACCGTGCACCTTTTTCCGGCCATAGATCAAGTTGTTCTGTCACTAGTAAAGGAAACATAAGACCTTCATGATAAAGCTCCCGACTATTGCTCTTGAATATCCATGTACCTAATTGACTCTGCAGCACAAGTTGAAAACAAAAAAATCGTGTGAAATATTTGTATTCAAAATGCTACTTTAAGACAGAAATTAGAAGTTCCGCTATTTTTCTGTAACCTTCGTTATGACTTATGAAAAATAAATCATTATTTGAAAACTATCAGGTTCGTGAGTTTGCGTTCTGGTGTACTAAATTTCATTTTGTTACAGCCAGTTATTTAATTGATATTGATACATAAATTCGATTTACCAACCTCAACAGTGCCAACAACTCCGGCTTCCTCCAATGACTCACGACAAGCAGCTTCTTCAACAGATTCATCAAGTTCCCAGCCTCCCTGATCACAAACATTTTTATCTCAACATCCGCAACATTTAGTAAATAATATGAAGTGACCACTTTCAGAAAGTAAAATATAAAAAAATGAAGAAATAATTTATGCATTTAAAAACAAATAAATAAATAAACTATTCTTTTCAAGGAAAGGACGGTGTAATTTCTATTTACTCCTACCTCTTTTATTTATATAAGGCTAGAAAATATACAATGAATCTAATTCCAAAGATTCACTGAAATACCCTAAGGATTTTGTTATTTGTACATCAAAATAATTCATAAGCAGTTACCGAAAATGATGTGGAAGGAAAAGTTTGGATGAAAAAATAATTGTGTTTCAAATTGGTAAACGGTAGAGTGTCATTTGGCATTATATAATTCCTTATGTAAAATTTTGATGTACATGTAATATAATCCATACCCGAAACAGTGCCAAGATATGTCCGACCTATAGATTTGACAAGGGCAGATACCTTAGGAAACATCATTGCTCGGCTTTTTTTAGAACTGATCACAAGAACCTCTAACTCATCATCTGTGCCTCCATTGTTACCAGTCTTGTGTCTATAGGGAATGCACCTGCAAAATTAATAGTGTCAGAAAATATTATAAATGAAAATGCTATTTTGTCAACGCCTGTCGTTTTCTTTTGCTGCTCTATTCTCCGTGGATATCCCTTCAAAAACAGTTCGGTGTGTTAAATTTGATTCTTATGCTTTCAAACACAAGAACTTTATGACATCTATAACCTCCCTTGTTTCTAAATAGCTCAGTGAAGGCATCTAATTTCACAATTTTTTTACTCTTTCATATACTAGGAGATTTTGCTTGGGAAAGAAAAAAAATATACTCCTCAGGTGGGATACTTTAGCGTTAACTAGAAGACTACACAAGTCTGATCAGTGCCCATAATAATGGGGGTAACAGAAAAACAAAGCCAGAAACTTACCCTACAACAAGTCTTCGACCTCTGTTGTACCTCTGCAAATGTCTCCCTGTGCGAGCAACGAAACTCACCATCTTTCTTTCTTTTGAGTAAAGAGTTTCAGAAAACAGAAGCTTATTGAATCTTTTAGAGTAGATGATGCAAATGAAGGGAATAGTACACGTAGTATGTATAGGGGTCGTTCGATAAAGTTTTTAATAAAAATTGATAAAATATATGGTTGAAAAAGTTGATAAAAGTTCTAAAATGTTATTAAACAAAAATATAATGTAGATATTGCATTCTGCGCCAAATATGAACGCATAATAAACGCAGGCAAAAGTAGGCTGTTCGTAAGCAAAAACTGGTGGGCATTGTGTGAGTATTCGTTCATTTTCTTGTGTGGTATGTTTCCATGATGTTTCTCAATAGGTTTTTTTCAATATATTACTACTTGATTTTTTTTCTTTTATTCTAGTGCTTGATATGGAAATTCAGGCTTTCTAAGGCAAAAGTAGGCTGTTCGTAAGCAAAAACTTGTGGCGTATTGTGTGAGTATTCGTTCATTTTCTTGTGCGGTATGTTTCCATGATGTTTCTCAATAGGTTTTTTTCAATATATTACTACTTGATTTTTTTTCTTTTATTCTAGTGCTTGATATGGAAATTCAGGCTTTCTAAGAAATAATGTGTGCTATTAATAATTCATTATAATTGGAATCATGTATTGCAGGATCTACGATTTCAATTCCTTGCGATAGGCCAATAGCCCCACGATATTTTTGGAATTAGATAGCATTACTCTTCAAATGTGTAAATTCATTATATCTGATAGTTTATATGAATTTGTCCAATATAATACTACAATAATTAATAGGTAATTATCATGTGCTTAATTCTCAACGTCATTCATTTTTTCAATTAAACCACTTTAAGAGATTTTTATTATTAATGAAATAAATATGATACAAAAGAAAATTGCATACCCTATACGAAGACGGGAGAACCACGGATAAACCAACAAGCTACACTTGTAGTTTCTCTCCGACTTTTAAATGATCAAGTAATTTTTTTTGTGCACCCCAATTTTTCATAGCTTCCTCACATTAAAAAGCTTCATTGATATATTGTCTCTCTCAAGAAATATTTATCACACATTCTTGTTCATCAATTAGTTATTGATATATTGTCTCTCTCGAGAAATATTTATCACACATTCTTGTTCATCAATTAGTTATTGATATATTGTCTCTCTCGAGAAATATTTATCACACATTCTTGTTCATCAATTAGTTATTGATATATTGTCTCTCTCGAGAAATATTTATCACACATTCTTGTTCATCAATTAGTTATTGATATATTGTCTCTCTCGAGAAATATTTATCACACATTCTTGTTCATCAATTAGTTATTGACATCATTTTATATTAAGCCCCTATTTGACAACCATTATAAAGAGAAATTTGGATAAAATGTATTTTGGAATAGTAGTTTTTGGGAGAATGTGTGGTTATCAAAGGAGGGAAAAAAATTTATTTACGTATGATATTATTTTATTGAATAATGTGTGGTTGAAAGTGAAAGAAAGAGAAAATAATGTATTAAAATTTTAATGTGAACCAAACAAGGGCTAAAATGTTACCTATTTTCAAGCATAAGGAGTAGTTAGAAAAAAGTTGGACATATTAGTTTAAAATAATATTAATAATTAATTGGATGGATAACAAATTGAACAGTAAAAATTAGACAACAGATTTCAACTCGATCAAGTCACTTAAATCACCCGATTTTTTATGTGTAAAGTGAGTTAGGTAGATCCACGCTTCGGCTAATTCTTGACTCGACTCTTGTCCTTCTGAAAAATTAAAAATCGAAAAATCATGATTGCCCTTATGAGCCACTGAGTCACGACACAACCCATCCTTTGAGTCTCTGTAAGCAAGTCTGCTCCAGGCATGACTATCTTAGAACATGCCCTAAGCCACGGAGCGGAGGGCATGGTTAATCCATCCAAATATTCACTACCACTTGCAGATCAAAAGAATATCTAAGAAAATCGTCCTCATATTGAGTAATATTATGTATGGAATACACGTTTTTCTATTCCACAATAATAGCTATATATCATTTTATGAAGTACTCAAATTCAATTGAAAATTATGCACTTCACAAGTTAAATTTTCAAATAAAAAGTTTAAGCTGAGATAATCGTTACTTTAGCTCCAATTTCTACTGTTTTTTGTAATATTCCATTAAAAACTCAATTATTATTGTAATGGTTTGGTTTGCATAATTCAAAAAGTTAACTTTTGTGAAATTTCCTCGAACAAGGATAGTTTTAGAATTCTTCTAACATCTGCGTATATTGTAAACAAATTTCTCGTTATTTCCACCTTTAATGTCTTCTACTTTACATAAATAATTGTTAATGGTGCTTTATTAAGGCACCAACATTGAATATATGAGTTATCCTACGCCTGTTACACAATAATTTTGAAAATTTTAATTAGATTAGATGAGACTTTTTCGAGTCTCTCGTGCCTAAGTAGGGGAATTTGGCGTTACAAATGGACGGTGACACATGTCATGACCAACCTACTTATTTATTATCACAAAATAGATTGGGGCATGAGATTTTTACAACTTTAACTTTTTATATTAAAATCTTTCTTTTAAGTTAAGTTAACAATTGATTTAAAACAAATATTTTATGAGATTTACAACCTTTTTCAACTAGACATTTTATCAAAATTTACCAAAAATCTAATTTTAATTTCTATCAATCAAATGCTAAATCTCGTCGATTAGCAAATCATAAAACTTCAAAATAAGAAATGGTAATTTAATTTCCGAAATAAAATTAATACCACAGAACGTTATCTATCATTTTATTTATTTATTTATTCTAAGTTTAATATAGATAATTTGTCTCCTTCATAACTTGTAGCTTCATAAACTTTAATCGATCCACTTTATTCCTATAGAGAACAGAAAATTCAAAAAAACATAATTACTTAGAGCCTATTTGGGAGTGATTTTGAGAATTGATTTTCTGACCGTTATGAAAAAAGTGGGGTCCACGTGTGAGAGAAGAAGTCAAATATGACGGCTGAAATAGTGAAATAACGGTCAAAAAATCAAATTTTTTGGTGAAAAAATAAGGCCCAAACAGGCCCTTAGAAAACTCCAAGAAAGTGTCCAAATCCCTCCAAATTTTGAAATGGTCGGACTCACGTGCAGTGGAAAATCTTCCGTCGCCGGTTTTGTCTATTTCTTGTCGAATTCTCCAAATGTACACGATACAAAATGACGTCGGTGGTAGACTCTTCCACGATAAAGATGCAAGTTTTTAAAATTTTAGATACACTTTCACTAATCCAATATTGTTCATTCACCTATTCTACTGTTAAAACGTTAAATCATATTCACTTTACTATGCTAAAACATAACATACAAACTTTAGTTTTCTTATGCCTTTTATATTTACATCTATTATGGGTAAAATCCCACCTTAGTTATTTATAAACATAATAACTAACATTTAGGGTTTGAAATATTCCTCTTAACAAAGTTTAACTCTTAAGATAAAAACCCTAATAATTAATATGTTTTTGGATTGTTTAGTTCTAGTAAACAATTTGTCCTTTTAAAGCTCAAATGAGGAGTTGGATTTCAAGATCCGTATATCAATTGTCAATTTACGTTTGATCTTTTAAAATGATACCCAAAAATCTAATAACGTATAATAATATTCAGTGCACCAACTAATCATGCTATAAAGATATATTTAATACGTAATACCAAACAACCACATCACAATAATTTAAATCCAAAACTTTTGGTTAAGCATGTCTAAACACTCATTTAGTAGTTACAAACTTGTTCTGAATTTGTTTCATTATTGATTTATTATATCTTATCCTTGGTACATTGAATGCAGCACCTGTTAGTAGTGATGAGGATGGACTAATTGCTGAATCAGAAATTTATTTGAGTACGTGGCTCACAACGTTGACAATAGTAGAAAGAGACGTGATTGGAATTTACCATTGGAGCATCTCAAAATTGAATTTTTTACATTCAACCATAATAATACTATTCCTTCCAAGAAATTAACAAAATGGAGATTGGTACTTTTTTTTTTTTTTCCAACTTGGTAAATCAAAAGGAATAGGAACAATATTGTTGATATATATTGTATTATTGTTCCTTATTTTAGAAAGTGACATTGGTAGTTCTACCATGAAAGATACGAGTATGTTTTGTACAATGAATTGGATAAGATTCAATTGAATTGAAAAATAATAAAAATATTTTTCTTCTTTAATATATTTCGCTTAAAGACTTATTTCAGACATGGTGATAGAGAGAGACTAGTTTTAATAAAAGATTGTTTTTGTAGTGTCGCATAGTTAGAAAAATAGATTGTCGTGGAGGCTGATTTTTAAAGGAGTAAATTGTAATGATTATTTTAAAGGGTTATGTCCCTCACTAAAGACAACTTTTGAATTTAAATTTATATTAGGTATCATCTTTATATAAACTAATTATAAAATGCTTGTACATATTGATTCTAGTGGGCGACTTTAATTGACTACGTTAAAGAAGAACTCCATAATTCTAAATGGACAAAGTGGGAAGAGATGTGGAAATTAAATTATCTTTGATGATTTGCGTTACAATTACCAGCTCATTATCTCTATGTATACACTGATCTTTCCATTTTTTAAATCTTCTCAATGACTAAATGTGAGGACCATTGTGGAAAGAACATTGTTAAATTTATGTCTAAAGTAAAGACATAAAGCAAGAAATCAAATATCAATATTGGAATCCTCTTTACCAAACTCCCAACTTCCTTTTTAAGAGACTCTATTGTCTATGTCAATGAGCGATCCCTTAAGGTGAATGTTAGCTAAGGGGCCTTTTCAATAATGCTCGCTCGGGGGTGCTCGCCTTCTTTGACTTCCTTAAAATCGAAAACATATTGATTAGAGATATTTAAATTGGATCAACTTGCACATGTGTGAAAATTGACTGGATCAATAGTTATCTTGATTGACCAATAAGTTCATAGGTCAGTAGATAAGTTTGTAACAAGGTAATGCATATTTTCCAGCAAAAGTGGAATATAGGATTCTATCTACATTTCTTTTGTCCGTCGATCTTTTTATTTTTGTTTCCATCAAGCTCGAAACAATATTATTTGTTGGTTTGACTAAC